ATACAAACCTCTTTGAAAACGCCAAATGGTGATGTCACAAGAACACCCGTGGAAACCGCTTGCCTTCTGTTGAAAACCCTCATTCCCCATGATGGGACTGAGATTACTTTAACGGACCGGAGAGTAGGGCCACTGGTCGAAGTGAACCTTACCACTGAAGAAGTAAAAGACGCAATATGGAGAATAGGTCCAAAGAAAGCTCCTGGCAAAGACGGATTAACAGCGGCAATCATACGTAAGGCATGGCCGATAATTAAAGACCAACTAACTCACCTATACAGGAGATGCCTGGTGAACTCTAGTTTCCCCAGATGCTGGAAAGATGCAGAAGTGGTGGTCTTGCTAAAGGTAAAGGACAAGGATCCCACGGAACCTAAATCATACAGACCAGTGAGTCTCCTACCTACACTAGGAAAGGTACTGGAAACATTGATAATAAAAAGACTCAGGCAGGAGATAGCAAACAACTTATCGGAGGACCAACATGGTTTCACAGCAACGAGGTCAACGCTCAGGGCAATTAACTCCCTGCTGAATTGGGTAGATAACAGATCGGAAAAACTTGTCATAGGGGTCTTCCTGGATATTTCAGGGGCTTTTGACAACTTGAAGTGGGATATACTATTCGAGAACCTACAGAGTTTAGGAGCAGGGGTACACTCGATTCAGGTAATTAAAAGTTACCTTGAAAGTCGAAGAGCGCATATAACAATCGAGAAATCAACGGCGAGCTGTGTGTTAAGTAAGGGATGCTCCCAAGGCTCCCAACTTGGTCCAGTTCTGTGGAATGTCTCAATGGACAAAGCACGTAAGACACATACTACTCCAAAAATGAAGATGGTGGCCTATGCTGATGACCTTGTAATCACGGTCGCTGCAACTACACTTCAATTAGCACAGGAGAGGATGTCACTAATTTTAGACAGGATCATAGAATGGGCAGAAACAAGAGGATTACAATTCTCTAGCCAGAAAACTCAAATTATGACACTAAAAGGAGGACTAAAACCAGGGTACCAAATCAGGTTCGGTAATGATATCATTACATCATCCAGCCCAGTGAATTATCTTGGGGTTTCGATTGACTACAAGAGAAACTACTGGAGTCACGTCGAACAAATAGCCGGAAAATCAGAAGCAATGTACAGCAGAATGCGCGCTGCAACTACTTGTAACTGGGGGATAAAACAATCGACATCCAAAGTGATCTACAAAGCAGTGTTCATACCAAGATTGGGATACGCAGCCTCCATATGGGACAGTGCACTACACACAAAGAAAGCCATAAAACTACTTGGCAGCAAACAACGTGACGCATTAAGATCAATAACAGGGGCATACAATACGACCTCGACCGATGCACTTCAGGTCATTGGGGGTTGTCTGCCCTTAGATCTAGAACTCAGACTGTTAGCCATGAAATAAAAGGTTAGACAAGGTAAAGAACAAGAGGATAAACTACAGGAACTCTTTGAAGAAGTCTTAGAAATTTAGCAGAACAGGTGGACGGCTAGCCTTAAAGGTAGGTGGACATATGAATGGTTCCCAAGTGTCAAGGAACGTTTCTGTGGATACCGTTGGAAATCGACCATTTCATTACCCAATTCATTTCGGGTCATGGGGATTTTAACGAGAAGCTCAACAGCTTTAAATTAAAAGACTCCCTATTATGCCAGTGTGGTGAATCTGAATCAGTACAACACATTCTCTTTGCGTGCCCAAGAGTGGATGTTTTCAGAGAGGAACTTAAAACAAATATTGCAAGGGACGGTCTAGATTGGCCTTGCGAACTAAAGGAACTAGTTAGGACACGAAGACGTTTTGAGGCCATCAAAAAATTCGCTAAGGAATCGCTTACAAATAGGACGGACAACAGGACTTCGCAACATATGGGAACAAATGGCGCCGAAGTCCGCCACCCAGGTTAAGGGGAATAGAATACTTTACCGGCAGCCCTGGTCAATCGTAAGAGGCGATTAACAAGGGATTGAGGGTTTGGTAGTACCCAGGGAAACCGAAACTACTTGGGGTAATAGGCACACTAGTGGGACGGAGGACCCCTGAGCAATCGAAAATCCTTCCAACCGGAATTGTTCTTTCAAAAAGGGTACGGTCACAGACCGGCGCCCGTGTTTCGTTTAAAGACGTGCACTTGGGGTAAAGCCCAAGTGTAAACAATCGCATCCCTTGAATAGCCAAAGGCTAAGGTAAGGTATGCGCTTGAGGCGAAAGCCACACCAAAATCTGGACTTCCTCCTGTTCGGTACAGTTCAGGAATGATCGAGAATATTCTCGATCATTCTATAGTTGCGCCTGTGTCACCGCGACAGCACCCGAATATTCTAGACGCGACACCCCCTCCCCTCTGTTGACCTATCCACGGCGGTCCCTATATATACAGGCTACCGCGACTGTATCTAGTCACTAGTCACCGTGTTTTTATTGGGTTGGTAATTTCCGCGTACAACTTATTATCGGCTGTTGCAAGTACGCGGTAAGAATTTGTTTTATAATAATAATAATTTAGCAGTTGTTTGTTATATTTTTTTTATTATTCATTGCTTTAGTATTGTTCTAATATTGTATTATTGTATTGTAATTTTATACAATTATATTTCTTGGTGTGTTATAAGTTACATTGACTTTCTTATAATTTTTTCAATACATCATATTCCTTAATAATATACACATACAGTCCACTTGTCCTTAGTCAAATACACTTAAAGCGTGGTTACCCCGATCAACGAGATGTTCGGGACCTCGCTTACAGTAATAAAATATATTATATTGGCAAACATCTTTCAAAATAGTTTGCATCCAAAAAATATCAGAAATGATATAGGCGTAACTTTCTTTTATAGGCATTTTAAGTTCTGTTCTTAATGCAAAATTGGAAAATGATTATAACTATTATGACATACTTCAAATAATATTAAATGTTGAGACTCGAAGAAGTTTTCTTATTTTCAGTTCACAATCCAATTTTACTACTCAAAATAGTTGGACTGATTTTAAACTATTTATGCTACGAAACTATTCACAACGTTCTATGGTTTGTGTGTGTACACAACACATACTTTTAACGTTGACTACACAGATTAAGGAATTGGGTAGAAGCTAAAATACTAAGTATCAAATAACTTATTATCCTGTTATAACTGGAAATCACTAGATATTGATAAGTGCAAATAAAGATACAAAGACAATCATATACACCAACATATGACTACAGTCAAATTACCAATACAAAATAGCCCAGAATATAACCACAAAAAGTAACTTTTATTGGATTAGGAAAAATAGGTAAGCCTACGGCAATTACAAAGGTAATGCAAATCACACTGTTATATTCTTAAAACGAAATGAGGGAAGAAGACTTATCTCCATCATTTCCATCAGCCAACTGAAACAATTTGACACAAAAAATATATTTCACAATTAAGGTGATAACATTTCTTTCTTTTTCTTTTTGTTCCATCTTCATTTTATATGAAAATATTAGTACGTGTAATGAATGTGTATATGTTACGGTGAATGATGTAAACGTGGTAAAAGACGTTATTCCCCGGTAAATGACATCATTTACCTAAAAATTGGTAAGTGTAGACATTCCCCGGTTATTGTCGTCAATCACCAGTTTAATTGGAGAATGATGTTTAATACTTTTATGTCGGTGTGAACGATCAGCGATAAGCGCGTAGGTGCCGAATAACCTTCGTTAGTTAAAAATATTACGGAGGTAGATAGATAAACGAACATTCCAACTAGCAATAACGTCGATAACCTGAGTAATAATATGAGATAATCTTTTAGTTTATTAGTTAGTATCGACGGGCATATTATAGCGAGTCGTATTTGCTACGAATGTATTTTATAATATTTTTTGTAAAAATTTGTGTCCCAAGTGAATAAAATATAATAAAAGTTAGATTAAATTATAGTGTTATAGTTTTATTCAATTTTAGGCTGGGGCCACACGAGCGTACAAAATGCGTCGATACGCACGTACTTTTTGACGCGCGTCGTAGGACTACATTATCGGTTATGGGAGCAGGCACACGAGTAACGCGCGTTAAAAATAACGCACGTTAATACGGACGTCAAATTTTATCGACGTATTATCTCTTCGACGCACGTACAACGGACGTCGAACATATCACCGCTAAAATTAAATTTGTATTGTTTGTAATGTGAACGTCAACTGCGTGGTCACACGGGCGCACTTTTGTATACGCAGTACGCACGTTATATCCTATCCAGACGTTTCTAACCCACCCGTCCAAGTGTAATATTATAATATAAAAAAATAATTATAATTAGTATTATAATTATAAGCACTACAATAATTATTATGGCAGCAAATGTTGACTGCGAGATTTTAATAAATGAGGTGCAAAAAAGGCCATTGTTGTGGAACACTGCAGACGAAAACTACAAAGACAAAACGAAAAAAAATTCGGCATGGCGGGAGATTGCCTTAAGTATTATTAGCAATTTTCAAGAAAAAAATGATTCTGAACAAAAAGTGATTTGTAAGTATTTTATTTTATTATATTATTTATCTAATTAAAATAAATACAATATAATACATCGGTACACAATTTACAAATACGGTAATTCTTTTATAAATTAAGTTTTTGATTATATTTTACCCATCTGCCATTCCAATTGTCCTTCTTAACTTACAAAATAATTAGATAACGCATCACGATAACGGTTAACACTTCGAGGTACCAAATAGTTTTCAACAATGCTAGGTTCTTCAAAGCCACTGATTGCTAGTGTATCGTCAAACTTGAACCCATCTCGGTCACGAACAAAATTATGTAAAACGCAACAACATTTGACAATATCGACTGCGAAATCTACGTGTACATCGATCGGTCTGTGAAATATACGACACTTATTAGAAAGAATGCCAAATGTACACTCTACGTATCGTCTTGCGCGTGATAGACAATAGTTAAATATTTTTTTTCGAAAAGGCAAATGAGTACCTAAGTAGGGTCAAAGTAAGTGCTTGTCCAGTCCAAATGCTTCGTCACCAACAAACGCGTATGGTAATGAAATATCAACTCCTGGTACTGTTGTTGATGCTGGTATATTCAAATTATTTTTTTTCAAATTTTCCCAAAGTGCCGAGTTTTTAAAGATAGTTGAATCTGAATCTTTTCCATAAGATCCAACATCTACATATATGAACTTATAGTTTGCGTCGGCAATAGCTAGCAGTCCAATGGAAAAGTAATGCTTATAATTCATATATAATGAACCACTTCTTTCCGGTTTTATGATTCGGATATGCATTCCATCAACAGCACCTAAGCAGTTTGGAAAATTTGCTCTTTAATTGAATTCTTTGGCAATTTTAAGCCACATACCCTGATCAGGAATGGGAATGCATATTTCTTTTAATCTGTTCCAAATACTTTTGCATACTTTTCTGACGACTTCACTTGCAGTACTTCTCCCAATCCGATAGTTATAATGCAGTTCTTTAAAACTGCACCCTGAAGCGAGGTATCTGGTGAATAAAATAACATAAAAAAATCAAATAATTTAAAAACTAATTAAAACAATTTAATAATAATTTAAAACAAAATAAACAAAAATATCCACTTAATAACCATTATGCAAAAAAAGTAAATTTATTTTTATTTTAGTGCAAGATATAACTTCAAAATGGCGTACAATACGAGATAATTATAAGCGAAACTTGAAAAAACAAGATGAATGTAAAAGATCTAGTTCGGCGGCTACAAAAATTAGACAGTACGTCTATGGTGAACAGTAGTCATTCCTGAGAAAAACTAAGGAGTTACGTAATACTGATTCTAGTTATGCAACAACTGAAGAAGATGGAGTAGACAATTTTGATGAAATTGAGCATGATTCAGTGACCTGTGTTGACGATGGTATAAATAACAGCAACATAGATATGGAAATTACAGCAACATCTTCAAACGAAAAATCCACAAGTAAAAGAAAAAAACCCAATGTGGAACATGCATTAATCGACTTCATGGAAAGCCACAAAGCGTCAAAGAAAACCTCTGACAACGATGAGGATTTAGCTTTTTTTTATTCATTACTAACATCCGTTAAATCTTTAACTATGGATAAGAAATTTGAATTTAGAATGCAAACAATGCAGCTCCTACAAAACTTAAGAACTTCAGAACATAGTCAATTTTATAATACTTCATCTGCAACTTTCAATAGAACACCCACAAATTTCCGTCCACCATCATCTTCATCTGCTTTGTCTTATTACACTCAATTCTCCAGTGATGAGTTGACAAACGAATATACTATGGAAAATGTTAGTTATTTAAATCCCAGTTCATAAATATATTTTTATATGCAATATTATTAAAAAAGTAATATATTATAATATACCTATTTATTATAAATACATATATCAAGTTTACTTTTATTGTCAGTCATTAGCAAATAATTAATTGTATTATTACAAAAATACCTACATACCTCAAAGTTATCACCAACATTTCTTCGGGCTGTATAGCTAATCGCATATTGGTATTTTGTAGCTGAATATCATTTTTTATGCACAGTAAAAGTTCATCGAATGATCTTACAGACATTCGGAAGTAGTTAAAAAATTTTGACGAATCTTCTCGAAGTTTATAGTACAACTTCACGTAATGCCCATTTGTATATCGTTCACAATTTATTGGATGAACCCAATGTTCCCTTTTAGTCCGTTTTTGTTTTAGGTATAAATAGGTTAAAGAACTAAAGGAAAAAACTTCGTCTGAGTCCATATTTAAAAAAAAACTTTGTGAAAACAGTACGCAATACGTCTTTACAACTTTACAAACAAGTAAATACTAGATAAGATACAAAATCAATGATAACACATTTTTAACGGACGTCATATTGACGCTCGTGTGCCCGCTCTAGTGCGCGCGTTAAATAGTACGTCCGTCGCAACGCGCGTACGTAGTGCGTCCGTGTGGCCCCAGATTAAAGTACGCAGAACAAATTTAAAGCAGCAATTAACAAAATCGTCAGCACTAAAAAGCGAGGTGACAATATATTTTATTTTAGTTCTGAAGAATACAACAAGATTCAAAAAATAAAAGAATTTAAAATTGGAACACCTGAAATAAATGCACAAAAAGCACACCCCTAAAACCCCAAAAACCACACTCAAAACCAATAAAGCTGGGCGGATAATGAAAAGCGAATAACTTCATTTTGACGAGAAATACATTATGCTTAAGGAAATTGACTATAAAAACGTTTACTATCTCTTCTTCCTTCATCCACCGAACATCTAACGGATCTTCAGTCAAATTAGGGTAAGACAGTTTACCATATAATTAAATCAATGTATATATATATATACATAATTACGGAGGTGAGCGTATATATATATTAGAAGGTAATAATTTGGAATGTGTAACTGTGTACGCAATATATAAAGATAATGAGTCACACATAATTAATAAAAAAAGAAGTAAATACATACAATGCGCACACAGTCCATTTTCACGTTACTACAGCAAGTACTCTATGGGACCAAACCAAACATCCACATCAGTGAAAACATACATTTCCCAGAGAACACCACATTACCAGATCACAAGAGTATCATTTAAATAGTGCAAACCAAACACAAACATAAAGCAGGAAAACGAAATCGACAGAAAGACAAAAATATGAAGTATCCCAAATGCATCGTGGACAACGGGTGTTGATCAGAGACCACAGACTATCCTTAGCGGTGTAATATATTATATCTTTACATTATACATAAATAAATACACAATGTGAATCAACACTAATGATGACCATATAGGGGTGTAATAAATATAAGCGCTATCAATTAAATATAAAATAATTTACCTTCCCACAATTAAACTACCGAAACCCATATCCATCTAAGCACGAGCCGCCAAAGAAAAGATAACGCAGCATATAATTAAAAATAATGGAACGATAAAAAAATACGAAGATTCAAAATAATATTATTTCTCCTCGATCATAAGTAATATTAGGATATCAAGCTACCGAAATACATATCTATCTAAACACAAAGCCACCAAAGAAGATGCCGCCACATACAATTAAAAACTATACTATCAACAACAAAACGATAAAGAAATACGAAAATTTAAAATAATATTATTTCTCTTCGGCCATAAAGATGTTAAGCCACTGAAATACATATTCATCAAAATACGAGCCGCCGAAGAAAAGATAAAGCCGCATACAATTAAAACTAATGGCATCGATAGCAGGGCAGTAAGAACCAAGGAGATATAAAAACATTATTCCTATCAATCACAAGTAACACAGCAACATATCAAATCTCAAAATGCCGAACACCCGTAATCGGACACAAAAATATCCAGACCAATTAAAAATCTACATATCACAAACAATTATTATTTATAAAACCTATCGTTCAATTTCCTATCTACACTTTTCTTCAAACTCCATTATCCATCAATACAATGTAAGAGTTCAAATAGAGCTTAATAGAGTCTCGAATAGTCTAATAGAGTTTGCAATAATATCACGCATCGAACCACGATCAACCATTCAGATTGCTGAAAATATCCACAACTTAGAACATCGACCTGCTTCAAACGAGGTAAGTGATATTAATTATATTTCTATTACAATCAGAACGTGTTAACTAATTACTACTGTTGTATTTGTAAGTTGATATGAGTATTGTTCATATCATTATTATCAGTATTATTATTATTATTATTTTATTATAATTATTATTATGATAAAGACATTGAGGTTATAAAAGATAATATAGTTTTGTGTCTTCTTGAATCATGATGTACGTAACATGTGAATATAATAAATGATCATTAATAATGTTAACTAAATTATCCTGTCTTGTTCATTTTATATCCAAACCCATCG